CCCACAGCTCCAGGGGCTGCGGGTCCTGGCCTGCTCCAGCTGACCTCCCCATCTCTGTGTCTTCAGATGGGGGACAGGACGGTGCAAGCTGGCGCATCACAAACCAGTGGACAAGTGCCCTGGAGTTCAGGAGATGGCTAGGAGTTCCCACTGGTGGTAATGGAACGGCTCTCTATAATATTTCTCCCCTTCCCCAGGACATGCCAGGGAGTCATCTCATCCTGGTTCATCTATTCAGTATAAGTTAACTGCTCAGCACCCACCGTGTGCCCAGCTCTACCTAGGGACAGCAGAGAGAATGTATGCCCTTGGAGAACATAAATTTAGATGGAAGTAATTATGCTCCCAAGGACATAAGAGTCACCTTAAGAGCTTATTAAAACACGGATTCCTGGGCCCCACCCACAGAGATTCTGATTCAGTGGCTCTGGAGTGGGAACTAAGATTTTGCATTTCTCACAGCTCTCCAGTCTTTGAGTAGCATGATCTAGACTACAGATGTTAGTTCTGGCCATGGGCTTGAACTGCTTTTAAAAACTCATCTGGGCCTTCTCCCTGGAAGAGACCTTATTTTGCCACTTTAAGCTTCACTCCTTGCGAGGTTATGTGCTCATGCCATGGTATTATAGGTCGTACAGAACACATAATAGCTATGACACCTGCAGCGATTTTCTGCACCTCTCAGAGCCTCTGTCTCCTTACTTAGGAAGGTTATCAGTTTGTTTCCCGGAGCTAACTGAACATAATAATAAAATAAATAAATAAAATGAAGGTTATCAGAAGAGTTAGAGATAGCATATTTGTCCCTAACCTAAAACCTAGAATATAGAAGGAATTCCACTAATGTAAATTTCTGTCTTTCTATCATCATCATTATCCTCATCATACTCTTGTGGAACTTTATTCAGACTCTTTGACATGGCCTTCCAAATGCTTTTCAGTGGTAGCAAACTGTTGTCTGTAGAGAGCCAAACATTATATTTAGAGTCAGAGGAGTGGCTTAGCCATCACCAAACTGTGTGACTTTGGGCATTTCTCTTTCTTTCTCTGAGACTTGATTTTTGCATCTGTAGGGAAGAATATTTCCTACACCATTGGCTTATTATAAAGATCAAATTGAAGTACTTATGAAAGCACTTGAGAAAATACAAGGTGTATTGCAAATGTGTAAGATACTAGCAAGAAAATTAATTAATAATAATAATAAAGATTGAAGACTTGACCAAGACAGTATTTGACAAGTGTTCAGTCAGAGGTACAGATAACAAGGACTACCAGAGCTCAGAGAAGAGAATGTCTGGTTGAAGCAGTCAGGGAAATAAAATGGTATCTGAGCCCCAAAGTATAAGAAAGTTTTATGGAGGGCCCGTAGGTGGGTACAGTTGGGTGTGAAGGGGTGTGTTATATCCCAAACACGTGGGAAACAGAAAAACGTGTGTCAGGCTGTTAAGTGAACTTGTTCAGGTGAAGCATCTACACAGCAGATTTATCTTGAAGAGTAATGAACAAAAGATTCGGCATTAGTGCACTGGGGCCAGATCAAGATGCTTGGACTTTGTCCTTTAGACAGAGAGGGGCTCTGAAGGTTCTAGAGGAGAGGGCACCACAGGAGTGGATCCCCTCCAGGGTGGAGAAGCAGGGGAGATGGTAATAGGATGGCGATGATAAGACCACTGCAGCAGCAGGTAACATGGACTGATACGGTGTGCCACAGCAACCCTGTGATACAGGCACTAAAGGAAACTGAGGCAGAGAGAGGCAGCCAAATGCCAGCAGAACTGTCTCCTGCTCATACACAGAGCCCAACAACCATAGCAGCCTGTATGTGCCTCACACTTAGCCCAGAACCGCTGCTTGTCCAGAGGCTTGGGAAGGCTTGGGAATCTGCCAGGCCAAAAGCTGTTGGGGCAAGTTATTATTTTTAATAATGTCCCTGCCTCTTCCTCGTCATTGTCACAGCCTTGTCGCACCTCCAGGGCCAGTGGTTCTACATCTAATTTCTCAGTGGTGCCAGCTGCCAGAGTCACTAGGATGGACAGTGCACTGTCAATCCATCATGCTTGTGTTAGCCAGCTTCAAGGTGAAATGTGTCAGCCAGTTAAGCTAATTGTTTCCCTCCTTTTAGCCCTCTAAAACATATATATATATATGTTTGACTAGGGGAGGGAGATAGACCAGTTGACATGTTTTATTAAAAAGAATAATTTTGATACATTTATAAAAATAAGGAAAAGTGGGATGGGGTGGCGAAGAACTAGTCCTGTGGTTTTTAACTGATTTACATATTTTGTGTATAAATATTTTTTCATCAAAAGTTCCAAATCAGGGATGGGTCCCACACACCACACAAAATATATTAGAGACATTTATATGGATAGCAGGAAGGGAGACAGAGGGCTGAAATTTTCCAGGCACCCAGTGATTGATGGGGGCTGAGGCTCCCCCTGACGCTTTATTGAGTTTCCGATGATTATCTCTCGCTGAGACATTTTTTACAGATGACGGTCGAGCTGTCACAATGGACCATGGGGGAAAAAAAAACAACAATAATAACACTTTAATCTTTTTACTGCACTGCTCCCTAGTATCTCAGATTCATCTTCCCTGACGCACGCAGTTCATTATTCTGCCCCTCCCTGGATGGGAAATAAAGGCAAATAAATATATATGTAGACACACTTACCCACATACATACACACATGGACTGGATATAAAAGAGACCACCTCAAAACCAGAGAGAGGCAGAATTTATTGTTCTTTTTGCAAGTGTTGAGGTTTATTAGTAGAGATGCTGGGTTGGCTTGGAATTGGCTATTAATTACAACATTTTGTATTTGTTTTTTATTGTGAGTTTTTAACATTTTGAAGAAAAGGCAGAGGAGAGGCAAGCAGGTGTAGAGATGGGGAGCACAGAGGGACTGAGTTTGGCCAACCAAGTAGCATAACTGACTGAAAGGCAGAGAGGGCAGGCTCCCCATCTTGTTGCCAGCCCTACCTGGAGGATCTGTGGAGCTGAAAGATGGGATGCTTTGGTTGGGATGGGGGCAAAGCAGGGACAGTGGGGAGAAGTTAAGCTCAGAGTAATGATAGGCCACCTCAGAGGGACTCTAAATAGCTGTGACATGTTACTGCTGTGAGACTTAGAAGAGATGGGAAGAAAGGGAGGGTCAAACAGAGTATTGATGGGCCTACAGACAGCAGAGTAACGCATTCTTAAGAGTTTGTCCCACTCTTTGAATTTGATAGTGTGAAGGTGACACGTGGGCTGTGGGAAAGCTCCACCTGGGCCTGTGGTCAATGAAGGTGTCCTGGGGGCACCTGGCTGGCTCAGTCGGTGAAGCGTGCAACTCTTGATCTCAGGGTTGTAAGTTCGAGCCCCACTTTGGGTGTAGAGAGTACCTAAAATAAAATATTTTTTTAAAAGGCGGGGATGCGGGGGAGGTCCTGGGCCAGAGAGGATGCCACTGTCTGGCATCACAGGCAGGATCAACAACCTATCGTCTTAAAGCTCCAACCTTTCTGTTCTCCCCCTTCCCTTTCATGGGGATGAGAGAAAATGAATTTGGGGTCCTTAGGAGAAGGCTGCCCTTAATGTGCCTTCAGTAGAGTAAGTGCTGACTAGTCCTCCCTTTAATTCTTCAAACCTTTTCTGAGCTCCTACTAGAAGGGAATAAAGAGTCCTGTTCTTGAGAAATTTTCCAGTCCATGGGCAGAAAAAGTGGTGTCTGTGAGAACCATTTTCAACTAGGGTCTCATCTTCCATCCATAGGCCAGCCTAGATGGTCATGAGTGCCATCTCTGTAGGAAGGATAAAAAGATCTGTAAGACACTGTATCTATCCTTCAAGAACCCATTTCCTTCTTGGGGAGACAAGCTTACCATCCACTCACTAAGGAAGTATTTATCAAGCACCTGCCATGTTCAAGAATATACACATGAGGCACTCTGTGAACACATAAGGCTATGTAAAAGAGAATGTTAACTAATTTGATGTGAACTAGATATTACTTGAATGCATAGAGGAAAGGGAGATCAGTGAAAATCAGACTGCTTGAGTTATAAAGGATGGGTAACATGTAGATAAAGAAAAGGAATAATGAAGTCATGTAATCACATAGAGAAAAGAGTATAAGCCTTGGAGCTAAACAGAGCAGCTTGGTCACTGAGTATCAGTGACCTGAAACAAGCTACATAACTCTGTAAGTCATGGTTTCTTCATTAATTAAATAGGAATAATAATAATAATAAGAGCCTAGTATGGTTCTTGGGAGGAAAACAGTTGTAAAGTTCCTAGCACAGAACCTGGCACATAGTAAGTGCTCAATAAATGGAGGCTATTATTTGCTTACTTCTCCAAGAGTTATGTATTTATTAATCTGAGTATTGGAGAAAGACTCTTAGTCCTGGGATATTAGGCATCAGGACTCACCTGTGACTCTCTACTGAGTATGAAATGGGCACCCTGCAATGAGCCTGACATATTCTACAGTGCTAGTGTGAGAGGCAATTCTGGCCAGAGTGAGAGTGTCGCATCAGGAAGAGGAAAGGGCACAATAATAAATCTATTACCATTACTGAGTACCTACTGCATGCCAAGCAGTGTGCTCACCTCCTTACATACATTTTTTTTAAATATAATAGCCTTGTTGAGATCTAATTCACATACTGTGTAGTTCAGTCTTTTAAAGTGTGTAAGTTGGGCCTGGCTCAGTTGGTTGAGTGTCTGACTCATGATCTTGGCTCAGGTTGTGATCTCAGGATCCTGGGATTGAGCCCTGCATTGGGCTCCATGCTCAGCCGGGAGTTTGCTTGAGATTTTCTCTCTCCCTCTGCCCCGCCCCCGTTCCCCCGCTCATACTCATGCGTGCATGCATGCGCGCGCTCTCTCTCTCAAATCTTTTTTAAAAAGTGTGTAAGTCAGTGGTTTATGGTATATTCACAAGAGTTGTGCATCTATCACCACAGTCAGTTTTAGAACCTTTTTTTTTTTTAAAGACACATTTATTCAGCGTCGTGATCAGATTATTACATTTAGCAATCAACAGCATGGGTGCAAAAAAAAAAAAAAAAAAACTACATTAAAACCCTTTGTTGGAATGCTTTACACTTTCCACAGAACAGAAACTAAAATAACCTGTAATACAATTAGTCACAAATACAGTCCTCGAGTTTTTTGCCCGTACACATGAGTATTGTCTAAAACATGTCTTCTTTGTAGCAGCTAGGCCCTGCCACCACTGTGCTTGGCCGAGTTCATAAATCTGTTGTAACCTGTAGCTTCCCTGTCACTTCTCTGGCTCTCCTCTCCTGCTAAGCTTTGTTTCCTGGCAGTAATTAAAACCTTCTGCTGCTACCATAGCTACTGCTGCTGCTGGAACCACCACAGCCACCTTGGTTTCGTGGTTTGGCAAAGTATTGGCCTCCACCACCATAGGGGCCAGAGCTTCTGCCTCCAAAATTTCCTCCTTTCATGGGTCCAGAATTTGAGGATTGATTGTTGTAATTGCCAAAATCATTATAGCTTCCACCACCTCTAAAGTTGCTTCCATCATTACCAAATCCATTATAGCCATCCGCACTGCCACCATATCCACCACCACCTCGACTGCCACCAAAGCCACCTCGACCACTGAAGTTCCGTCCACGACCAAAGTTGTCATTCCCACCAAAACCACCTCCACGACCACCACCAAAGTTTCCAGAACCACTTCGACCTCTTTGGCTGGATGAAGCACTAGCCATCTCTTGTTTAGATAGGGCTTTCCTTACTTCACAGTTGTGGCCATTCACAGTATGGTATTTTTGAATGACAGTCTTGTCTACAGAGTCATGGTCATCAAATGTTACAAAAGCAAAACCTCTTTTTTTGCCACTGCCTCGGTCAGTCATGATCTCGATCACTTCAATTTTCCCATACTGTTCAAAATAATCTCTTAGATGATGTTCTTCAGTGTCTTCTTTAATGCCACCAACAAAAATCTTTTTCACAGTTAAGTGGGCACCAGGTCTTTGAGAATCTTCTCTTGAGATAGCCCTCTTTGGTTCCACAACTCTTCCATCCACCTTGTGTGGCCTCGCATTCATGGCTGCATCCACCTCCTCCACAGTGGCATACGTGACAAACCCAAAGCCTCTGGAGCACTTGGTATTTGGATCTCTCATTACCGCACAGTCCGTAAGCATTCCCCATTGCTCAAAGTGGCTCCTCAGACTCTCATCGGTTGTTTCAAAGCTCAAACCTCTGATGAAGAGCTTCCGCAGCTGTTCAGGCTCTTTGGGAGACTCTGACTTAGACATGACGGCGGTGGGAGGGGAGACTTTAACGATGCTTACTCGGTGGCGTCCACGGACAGAAAGCCAGTTTTAGAACATTTTTATCACTCCATAAAGAAACTCCATTCCCCGTTTCCTCTCATTTCCTACTAGACAGCCACTAATCTACTTAGTTTCTAAGATTTGCATATTCTGGGCATTTCATATAAATGGAGTCATACAATACATGATCTTTGGACTGCTTTCACTTAGCATGTTTTCAGGGTACATTCATGTTGTAACATGTATTAGTACTTCATTCCTTTTTCATAGCTGAATAATAGTTCTTTAATGGATATACCAAATTTCATTTCTCCATTCTTCAGTTGAGGGATATTTGGGTTGTTTCTATATTTGGCTATTATGAATAATACTGCTGTGAACATTTGTGTACAAGTTTTTGTGTGAATATAGTGATTTCAGTTTTCTTTATTTTTTTTTTAAGAATTTATTTATTTATTTGACAGAGAGCGAGAGCAGGAACACAAGCAGGGTGAGTGGGAGAGGGAGAAGCAGGCTTCCCGCCGAGCAGAAAGCCCGATGTGGGGCTCAATCCCAGGACCCTGGGATCATGACCTGAGCCAAACGCAGATGCTTAACAACTGAGCCACCCAGGCACCCCAGTTTTCTTAACTTTATACCTAGCAGTAGAATTGCTTGGTCATAGGATAACTCTGTTAACCTTTTGAGGAACTGCTAGACTGTTTTCCAAAGAGGCTGCACCATTTTACATTCCCACCAGCCACGTAGGAGGGGTCCAACTTTTCTGCATCCTCCCCAGCTCTTGTTACTGCCTATCTTTTTTACTTTGGCCATCCTGGTGGATATGAAGTTGTTTCTTGTTGTGGTTCAGATTTGCTGATGGCTAATGATGTTGACCGTCTTTTCATGTGCCTTTTGGCCATTTGTACATCTACTCAGATTCCCTGATCTATTTTTTAATTGGGTTTGCCATTGAGTCTTGCAAGGTAGGTGATGATATCTATTTTGCAGATGAGGAAACAAATTCTCAGAGATGTTAAGTATTTTGATCAAAATTGCACAGTGACTTTTGCTCCTCAGTCTCACTCACTCCGACCTCTGTTCTTTCTAATGCACACTGCTGCCTCCTGAGGATTCATGGTAGGATCACCAGGGTCCTCTTACGGGGGTTTTGACAGCAGGAAGGGAGTAGTTGAAAGTCTATTTGGAGACATTAACTAGGACTAGGTAGGAAAAGCCTCTGAAAGTCAAACAGAGGAATATGGATATATTACAGCTCCAGGTCTGGAAAAATGGCCGTTTCCTAGGGACTGGCCATTTCCTGTGCCCCTGACTCTACCGCATCATCTTTGATTTTCACAGTAACCCAGTTCATAGATATTAATGTTTCCATTTTACCAATGATGAATTTGAGGCCCAGAAGGATGAAGTAACTTCCCAGAGTCATCAGAATTAAAATGTGGTTCTCTCCAACTCAAAATTCTGAACTCTTTCCTGCTAGAGATATTTTATAAAAGATTTTTTTTCCAGTGTTACGTGTAGCATTTACAAGCTTTTGAGGTCATGGCCCAGCCCATGGAAAGTACTTAATTAATGGTTGGTGGGTGAATGAGGAGACAGACAGGAGTGTATGGTGTAGAAGGACCTAATTCCAACTGGGATTCCGGGGGGCAGAAGGATGTATAAGTGAGATATTGGAGGTCTCATCCCAAGGCTTAGTGTCCTGGGGGTTTGCTCTAAGTTTCTAAACATGAGGCCTCGGAAGAGTGTTCTGATGCCCAGACATCCTTAGCTTCCTGGGAGCAGGACGAGGCAGGTGGAAGTGGTATGGGTGTGACTAGCCTTGCATCTTTCTCGTGTTCATCACAAGAACATTAGAGTGGGAAGGACGCTCAGAGACCATCTAGCTTGGTGCTGCTCTGGTACATTCCCAGGCCCTGCCTACTGAACATTGCTGAGATGTGGGCCCAAGAATCAACAATTTTTACAAGTTACCTGGGTGATTTTGTTCCCAATAAAGTTTAAGGACCATTGGTGTAGAAAAAACCTCTTCAACTTGAAAAATAGTGAGTCTGGGGCACAGAGGGATTGAAATGCCTTCCAAGCTAGTGAATGCGTCATTTTTTTTTTTTTTAAGATTTTATTCATTCATTTGAGAGACCATGAGATAGAGAGAGAGCATGAGAGGGGGGAAGGTCAGAGGGAGATGCAGACTCCCTGCCGAGCAGGGAGCCCGATGCGGGACTCGATCCAGGGACTCCAGGATCATGACCTGAGCCGAAGGCAGTCGCTTAACCAACTGAGCCACCCAGGCGCCCGGGAATGAGTCATTTTTGAATCCAGTTCTCTCATCTCCTGATCTCTTGTTTTTGCTGTTCGCCATGTTGCTTAATTCCTTAACAAAAAACCATTGTGTGCCCATAGCTTTCAGGATAGAATCCAAACCCCTCTAAGAGTCAGGCCTCTGCCTCCCTGGGCGACCTCCTCTCTGCCTACAGCACCCTAGGCTCACTGAGAGACTCAGTTTCTTGAAGGGAAAGGTAGTGGAGTCTTCACCCTCTGGCTTTTGCAAACACCACGTTTTTCCCTAGAATGCCCTTCTTCCCGTCTCCACCTGGCAAGATCTCCCTCATCCTCAAGACAGTTCTCCTGAGTGATTCCTCTCAAAGCCACATGATGTGTGCCCCGCCTCTGCTGCCATCAGACTGTGTGTGTGTGACTCTCATAGCACCTACTGTTCCAGGCTGCTCAGTGGTAGTATGTTTCATGGACAGGCAGGTGGATAAAGGTTCTCGTGTGTTCATCGCCGAAGCTGCGTAAAATACTGACATGATGCTGTATGAAATACATACAGAAAATGTTATGAACTAGTTACTGTCATCCATGAGGAGCCTAGGATCTAACTGGGGAGTCAGAGGGAAATTTTAATGCAAGAAAGTATTGCAAGAGGTGTTGGACAGTAAAGAATTAACTGGTAAATGAGTACACATAATCAACACAACAGGCATCCAGGGCAGAGCTGGGGGGAAAGGACTTCCTGGAAGAGGAGGCTTGGACAGGACTTGAAAGAACAGGGAGGATTTGGAGAGGAAAGAGGGGTTTCCAGGCTGTGGAAGGAAATGAAGGGCCTTGCCCTCCCTGAGGATGGTCTCATGGTGACCGCTCACAGGGAGTCTCCCTCTTGCCCCATCCTCTGCCCAAAGAGAAACACAAGAGGCAGAGCTGACAGCGCCCGCAGAAGCTGACGAGGTAGCCCGTGCATGCTGGCAGGACGGTAGCTGTCTCAGGTTGTAGTGAGGTTTTAAAGCGGTAGTAGATACAGAAGATCTTGAGGGAGAGGAAGCAAAGAGCCCCGAGGCTTCTTCCCCAAGACTCTTGATAAAAATTTAACCCAGATCCTGAGCTTCAAGCTAGGTCGGCCCACCCTAGTTTATGTGAGGCTTGAGCCTGTGGGCGCTGACAGAAGCTGGGCATGGAGAAGTACAGAGGACAGAGCCAGGCAGGCTCTGGATCTGGTGCTGTCCACCACCAGTTAGCAGTGCAGGTTGGGCAGGCCACCCAGCCTCTTTACCTCTGTCTTTAATCTGTTGAATAGAGAAAACAGTATCTGTCCTAAGTTGTCCTAGGGTGAGTAAACAATCACATTGAAGTGCTCTCTAAACCAAAAAATGCGGCACAAAAGGAAGGGGTTATTCTCGCACCTGTTAGAGTAGTCGGACAGGTTCTCTCTCATGGAGACACACTCACATCTTTAAAGGCAAAGGCACTGCTAGGCCCTCCAGGACATTAGATGGCACAAGTTCCTGGGAGTGGCACTCGTCACTAGGGTTGTCTTTCCTCTGCACAAGGCAGCAGTAATCAAGCTTTTGTTATCCAGAGACCACCCATCTTGCCTCATACACCTTTTTTCGAAGTCTCCCCCAGTAGACTTTGCAAATGAGGACAAGTGCCATGTCTGGTTCATGTCTGTGTCCCCAGTGCTTAACCCAAGAGAGAGAGTGGCATTAGTAAATGTTTGTGGTGATGTTTAAAAAAACCTATTATCAAAAAAAATAAACCTGTTATCAGATTTGATTCTCATAGTATTTAAATATTTAGTATTTCTCAAATTATTTCTTATCATACCCATTTTACAGCTAGAAGAACTTAGTAAGTGGCAGAGCTTAGATTCCGGACTGTAAGACCTTAAATCACTGTTTGTCATTGTGGGAGGCGGTTACTTTTTTTTGCAGTTTCAGCAGGGCTGGCAAGTGGCCAGGGCTACATGATGGGCTTTGGGGACTGCTTTCACCCCTGCGGACTCCTTGGCACTGCTGACTTAAGGGAATCCTGCAGAGAGCACATCAGGCACGTGCTTGCGACAGCACCCAGGCATAGACTTTGCACCATCAAAAGGCAGAGGTGGGAGCAGAAGGATGACAGTGCGATGCGTTGTCATCTCCCTGTGGTCAGAGGGGCGAAGAGACACGGATGGCTGGCTTAGAGGAGAAGCAGGAGCCTGAGCTCGTCTCACCCTGTGCTGGAGACAGGCTAGTAAATGGCTTCATTGGAAAAGGGTCAGTTCAGTGGCTGAGGATCGGCTGTAAACACGGGGCCTCAAAAGACCACCTTGGTGGGCAGCTGGTGAGCCGGTCTTGGATGAGTCCCTTTAGCTTCCGTGGACTGACTGACTTTTCCTCAGTGAGAGTGAGTAAATATGTGACGGCGCGTGCTGCACCACTCCCCACACCTCCTTTCCGCCTTTAGCTACTTTTTTTGGATAGAGAATAGTATGACCTCAATGATCTGGGGGCTTCAGCAAGATCTTCTGGGACAGGCTTCTCAAACTGGGTGTTGTGAAGAAAAGGGCTTACTGCTAAGAGCACAGAATGGGCCTAGCTGACCTGGACTAGGTCCTAGCTCCCACACTAACTGATTACAGCACCCTGCTCAACTTCAGTTTTCTCATCTGTAACATGACAACAGCTTCTACGTCACAGGGTTATTCTAAAATAAAGAAAGAAAGGAAAATGCTCTTTCACAGGTGATTGTAATGCACTACTCAGTCCCAAAGAGTGTTCTGGGGAACACTAGTACTGCAGGATTTTAACAAGGACAAGGTAGAAAGAGGCTGTCAAACAGGAAACTGCTGACTAATACCAAATTAAACAGCTGGTTCTTACTCAGCACTGTGCCTTTCAGAAGGGAAAAGTGTATGCAGGATTTCCCAAATGGAACCACTTTTCACAGAGATAATGCACTTTTGGAAGCACAAGACCAAACAGGAAGGATAATAGCTGACATTTACTGACTGAAAGTACTGTATGCCAGGCACTGTTCCAAGCCCCTTTACTCAAAGTGTCTTTTTTAATCCTTACAACATCCCATGAGAGGCTACTGTTATCTCCATTTACCAATAAAGAAACTTGGCACAAAGAGGTTAGGTAATTTACCCAAGATTACACCGTCAGTAAGTTCAGAACTGGGATCCAAACACCAGGGTCTGGCTCCTGAGCTCACTTATTTAACAGCCACACTCTAAAACAAGGTAATACTAGGACTTTATTTATGTATTGTGTATTCATTAGCTAATTCAACAAGTATTTGTGAAGCCCATATTTATGCCCAGACACCATACTGGACACTGAAGATACAATTATAAGGGCAGTCACACTTCCTGTCCTCAGTGAGCATTTGGTCTGGTACGGAACATAGTCAAGTAAACAAATGATTGCAACAGAATAAATACTGTAATTGGGAGGTGCCTAAGGTGCTAGAGGAGCTCTTGGGAGGAATAACTGCCTCAAACTTAGGAAGAATCACTGCAGGAAGTGACTTCTAATCAGAAGGCCTAAAATGAATTGGAGTTAGTCAACCGAAGGCATGGGAGAGGGGAAAACATTCCAGGCAGTGGAATAGTATTTGCAAAACCTCAGAGGCAAGAAAGCACATTAGGAAGGGGATAGTTGAGAGATGAGACCTCAGAGGTGAGCAGGAACCCTCCTCATAGACATTCCTTATTAGCTGGGCTATGATGCTGGCACTCTGCTGACACTTGTCCCTGAACCAAATAACCCCAGCCATGTTCCTTAAGTTCATCTGCTTTTTATGGTAAGCACCCAGCGTATAGCTCGGTCATTGTGTTTACGGAACAGTGTTATAATTTGTCTGTTCCGGATTCTTGCATTAGACTATTAACTTCTTAAAGTCAGGAACCCTGTCTTATTCATTAGTATGTCTCCAGAAGCTATCACTATGCAGTGATGCTCAGTAAGTGTTGTTTGTTGAATGAATGATGTGTTTTCTTTATAAAATGGATTATATCCTTCCTGCTTTCTTGAGCCAACTATCACTTTTCCTCAGGTTCATCATTATATCCAGCAGTTAATGTCCTATGTGGCAGTTCATTGGTGCCCTTAGGGGCTTTTGAGGTGCTGTATTCTGTGACTTCCTCTTTCAGCTTTTGATTGTGCTGTTCTTTTCCCTTCCTGCCTAGCCAGCACTTGATTGTAATCAATTTGCTGGATTCTGAAGCCTCCTCCCCAGCCTTCTTGTTTGTTTCTCCTGATCTGCAGTGGGCTGGAAATAAGATCACTTACCATGATTTGATAAGACTGTGACTAAGAGTTAGTAATCTCTGAGTTGGGTCCTAAAAAGCCCTCGTATGGGAAAAATGCAGATGCACATGGGACTCATCTGTTAGCTACTCAGAGGCCTTCTTCCTGTTCTCCCTGCTCCGGGAAACGTCAGATAACACTCAGGGGTTGGGGGAGGTGGTCAGTCTGGAGAGCCTCTGTGTGGTGCAGAAGAGCTGATCTACCTTTGTTTGACTAAACTACAGGAAAGTCTGTTCTTCACCTACACACTCCACCAACTTCATTCTGGCCAAACACTTGAAACGCTTCCACCTAAGCTAACTTACCAGAGGCTAGCTACAAACCTCAGGCCAATCTCTCTTAAGCCAAGTTCCACCAAGAGTGTATTGTACCTTCATTTGAGCAGAGAAAGAAGAGGCAGTAGGAACCAAGGCTGAGACCAGAATATCTGGTCTCTGGGCTCTGATTCCCTCGTTTGCAAAATTAGAGTGACAACATGATATGATGTAAAGAAAGAGCACTCAGATTAGATCTGGGTTCTTATTGTCACTCAACTACTCACTCACTATGTGACCTCTGTTCCTCATCTGTACAATGGGAATTATAATACCTACTATATAAGGTGGTTGGAAGAATTAAATAGATTGTGTGGCGTGACCATGCCAGGCATAGAGTAGAAGGTCAGCAGGTGACGTCAGCTAGTATTAGGAAGAGACGTGACAGTCTTCTCGTTTGGGGAACTTTTAAATAGGAGATCCAGTTTCTCAGGAGGGGAAATACATAGACTCCATTCCATGACCACTTGGAAAAGAATGATTTAGAACTGGTATGGTGTGGGGCGCCTGGGTGGCTCAGTCGGTTAAGTGTCGGCCTTAGCCTGGGGTCATGATCCCAGGGTCCTGGGATGGAGCCCCGCATCAGACTCCCTGCTTAGCAGGGAGCCTGCTTCTCCCTCTCCCTCTCCCTCTCCCTCTCCCTTTGCTTGTGCTCTCTCTCTCTGTCAGATGAATAAAATCTTAAAAAAAAGAAAGAAAGAAAGAAAGAATATGGTACTTTTAGCTACCTAGTCAAGGTTACCTCTTGACTAAATTATACCCTTTATCCAGCAGGAGGTAAGAGGAGTCTACCTTTGCAGACTCTGTGCCGTGGGCTGGGGGGAAAGTGGGTACAGGTAGGTAGGACCCAAATTCTGCCCTCAACAAATGGAGCTCAGGATAGAACATAAGACAGTAATTCCAGTAATTTCTACATGAGGCAGAAAGAAACCCTATCTGTGCAGGATAAATATTTTTCTATGGGGTTTCATCTCCAAGGCAGGGCCCCAGAGGTGGGGTAACCATCCAGTTTATTGTCCAAACTGGGACTGTCCAGGACAGTAGGCATAAACCAGACCCATCCAGGGTGAACCGGGACATACGTGGTTACCCAACCCAGAGGGTCCTATAAAAGTGATGGAACTAGTCTTAGGCTCTTTTGTTTTTTTGTTTTGTTTTGTTTTTAAGATTTTATTTATTTATTTGACAGAGAGAGAGCACAGGTAGGCAGAGCGGCAGGCAGAGGGAGAGGGAGAAGCAGGCTCTCCGCTGAGCAGGGAGCCCCATGTGGGGCTCGATCCCAGGACCTCGAGATCACGACCCGAGCCGAAGGCAGATGCTCAACTGACTGAGCCACCCAGGCGCCTTTATTAAATTGGAGAGAGTCATGAATATTAGCACTAGAGTGAACTGGGGGTTTTTGGTTCTTTGACCACATGAAATGCTTGTTCTTCTTACGCTCAAAAAAAAAATGTTCACAATAGATTATTAAAGGTAAAAAAAATTACAAAATTGCAATATAGTATGCTCTAATTTTGAAGGACAGATATGCATGAGAGATATATATGTGCTTTGTAGGATTTGTATGTAGGAGATACATATACATACATGCTTATATATACATATATAGAGAGAGATACCAAAATATTAAATGTAGTTTCTTGAGTTGCTGAGGTGTTGATACCTTTTCTACTTTGTACTATTCTGTGGTTTCAAATTTTTAATGGCTTTTAAAAATTAAGAAGGTTCTTTACAAAATACTTCTGAATACTCACTAGATTGTGAACACCTTCGAAATAAAGGGGTATGTAACTGTTCTGCTAGGAACAGCCTCTTTCCCTCACCGATCTACCATCCCCTAGCCAACCCCCTAGCCTTCTTTCTTCACCTGACAACTTCTCTTCACCCTTCAAGACTCTCATCTCTTGGGATACTCTCTTCATGCCCACACTGAGCTAAGCTCCCCTCCGCCTTTCTGTCATCCTGTTATAACTCTAATATAGCATTTATCTCAAATAGCACTTTACACGTCCGTTTTTGTCTGCTTCCTTCATCAGACTGAGTCAGAGACCAGATCTGATTCATTTCTGCATCTCCAAATGAATCCTAACACATAATAGATGTCAGGAAACATTTGTGAACTAACTGGCCTTGTTTTACCCCCTCTTGCCCTGCACGGATGGCCCAGCACATAGTAGGTGCATTATATGTGTAGTAAGCATGTACATGAGTGAGGGAGGGAAGTAAAACACCAAGAGAAAGGTGAGATTGGTGGCTCCTGGCATTTGTTGCTAATGGGAGGGTTTGTGTTGCTGTCCCCCCAGTCCTGGTCACCCGAGAGGATGACTTCAACAACCGGCTGAACAACCGTGCCAGCTTCAAGGGCTGCACAGCCCTGCACTATGCTGTCCTTGCTGATGACTACCGCACTGTCAAGGAGCTGCTTGATGGAGGTGAGCGCATGGGTGAATGGCGCTGGGGTTCGGCAGGGAAAGAGTACTTGGCAGCCTCTCCACTCTGGAAAATCCATGCCTCCCCAGAGCTCTGTTACCCTTCCAGAGCTGGAAGTGCCTCGAGGGTGGCTCCAGCCCGTGAGAGTGGCTCTGGGATGTGTGATTTGCCTCGTGTGTGTCACACACCACAGCATCCTGCCTATCTGCATGTGCTCTTGAGTTTTCTTGGTTGTGCGTCTCCCCAAAATTGTCCTCTCTTCTCCCCTGTCACCTCTAGAGCAGGGCTAGTAGAACAAGGAGGGAGGCCCTTCAAGTCTGTACCGATGCAGGTCTCAAAGACATTCTCCTTGATCCCATCTCCCCTCCTCAGTCTAAATTAGGCCCCTTTCATTACTCTGGATCATGGCATGCTCTTCTTTCCCATCATCGCTCTTGTCACAATCTGGAATTATTTTCGTGAGTTCAGTAGCCTTCTCCCTAACTTGACTCACTCCCTAAAGACCACTGATTTGTCCCCAGCACCTAGTACGGTACCTGACATACAGTAAGCACTCAATAAACCTTTGTTCACTGATTGAATACCCTCCCTTTGGAGAGTATTGGTTTAATTGGAGGGGCAGTATGTACCATCCCTCAATTCAGGCTGGGCTCATCCTATGTAGGTCTGGTACAGAGTTACCTGCCACCCTGCCAGATACTTCCCAAGCTGTCACTTTCCCTCCCACTTCCCCTTATCCCATTCTGGCCTCGCCTTGGGGTAGGAAAAGAAGCATCTTACCTAGAGTGTCATGCCCAGGCCTCTGAATAAGTATGGCACATGACTGCCTGTTTATGCCCTTGCTGCCACTCCTTGAGGGCCTAGGGGCCCTCTCTTGGGCCTGGATACCAAGGTCCTCCTTGTCGGTGGTCATTTTCCATAGAGCCTGGGAGCTGGAAGGGGCCTCAGAAGTTCTCTGAGTCACCCTGATTGCCTGCTTCCCCTCCTCCTGGCAGGAACCTTCAACAGCCGGCAGGCTGGCCTTTCCTTGGACCGTGGCAGGGACTGAGGGAACCCTACTTCTTCCCCAGGAGTCCATTCCATTTTAGTTCTTCTCTAACTGGTTAAAACATCTTTTTCCAAATACACTGTGATTTTGTTCTCTAACTTCTGCCAACTGTCCTCTGCAGCTGAATCACTTTTTCAAAATCCAGTATTCAAAGAAAGTTCTTTCAGTTCCAGAGCCCTTGCTTCCACAGCCTAACATTCCGAGATCATGTTCTAGTCCTTGCCATGTGATTGGGCTGGAGGGGTTTACCAGTAATCCCCAAATCCTGCCACCTTCTGTCAGCCACAGCCATGCTGGCTTAGAACCTATGCCTGGCCCATACCCCCAAGCCTAGGCAACCTGCCCCAGAGCAGCAGAGTATGCCTGGGTCTGGGGCATGAACACTGAGAGGTGTAGGTCTGCTCATGGATGTGGTGACAGTGCCGGGAATGATTGATGCTTTCAGAGCAAGAACTCACTGCTCTCAGAAGCGGAGACTTAGAAAACGTCTCCAAGCAAGATGCTACTTAGATCTCAGGCAAGACATTTGCAGCTAAGAATTGGAGCATTCACCGTGGGGCTTCTTTCTGCCAAGCCTTAAAATCAATCAGTACTCCCAGCCATTGTCCAGTGGTTTACATTCCCTGCTTCCCCTCAGCCCTCAGACAGACAGGGAGTTCAGTCTAAAGAGAGACCCTCACCCAGCCTTCCAGATTGAACACCTTTGAAATGAAGATGCACAGGCCTTTTATGAAGCGTCCCCACCCTCAGCCCCCCAGGCCAAGGCTAGTCCTTTGAGCCGTTCCAGGGGCATGGTTCCTGCCTGTTGACTTGGAACAGATGCCCTTAGCCCCCAACTTTACAGTTCGCCCACCTGCTTTTTTACCCAGCATCCATTTACAACCCCTGCCCTAGCCTCCCAGCCTCAAGGGCCAAAACCATTAACCCACTTATTTCTCCTTTCCCGACCTGAACAAGTGGCCGTCACTCAGGGCCTGCAGGCCTGCCAACTTCTAGCCCCCCTCCGCCCCCCCTTGACCTCTCTTGGTCTGCCTCTGTGTGTGTGACCAGCCAACCGAGAGGCAAGATCCTGCTCCCTTGTCCTAGGGCCTATTGCCAGTCACATTTCCAAAGTCTTCTGACCTCAGCTGACCTCCTCCCGAGGGTTTCAGGGAAGGCAGGCCTTCCTGCCCATCTAGCTTTCTCAGCCTGTATTTGCCCCTGGCTTTGCTGCAGCAACTTAGAGGGAGGCTCTCTGGGAGATCCAAGGCAGGCCTAGGCACAGGGGCAGCCTGTTTTCACGAGGTCCACACAGAACCCTTGTCTTTGAAATTGCTGAGTCCACAGGGCTCTGGGGCCCCCAGATTGTAGAGGGTTAGAGCTAGAGAAGCCAGCCGCTCTTGCCCTCTGGCCAGGGGTCCCCATATGAGAGCTGGGAGGAGGTCCAGGCAGCAGCATCAGTCTATTAATGCAGGCAGTTCTCTGACCCCTTAAGATGCAGCATGGAGTAATAGAAAGGACACTGCAGACTTAGAGTAAGGCCAACCTGGGTTTAAATCCCACCTTCCCCACCTACTAGCTGTATCGCCTTGGATATGTTGCCTTAACTCTCTAGGCTTCAGCCTTCTTCACTGTCAGATAACACCTGGGAAGTATCACAGGGGTAACATGGGGACTAGTGATAATGTCTGTAAAAGCCCCGATACATGGTAGGTGCGCCATGATTAGTCTAAAGAAGTCAAACTCTCCCCCTGACAGCTATAATCCTCCTATTTCCTCCTCATGTAAAACCTGTGCTCCTGCCTAAAGATTCCTTAATTCTCTTTCTGCCAAACTTCTCCACCCTACCTAAAACACCATCGTGTTGCCTCTCTTCTCATCTAGATCTTCGGGCCCTTCAAGGCCTCCCTCTCTCAGGAAGCTTCTCTTGGTGCTCTGGTACACTCTGATAGCGCCACCTCTGAGCTCTTGCAGTGTTGGGCTGGGTGCTTAGCACAGGTCATTTCGTCATCTTTAGGAGGTCCTGTAACATAGTGAAAAGAACACAAGCTTGGGAGTCTGACAGACCTGGGTTTAAATCTCAGCTGTGCATTGTCACTGTGGGCTACGTAGTTGTTATTTCTGAGACCATGGACTTCAGGGCATCCTAGATGGATCAGGCAAATTGACCCTGACCCTGAGAGACTATCAGACTGGCAGAGGAGATAGATATGGAAAGCGGTGGTGACAGCTGTGTGGGTGTCTGGCAGGGGACTGGACAGGAGCTCTGGGGACACAAAGAAGGAAATACCCCTGCCTAGTGAGCAGGGAGATGGAGTCAGTTATAGAACGCCTGGGGGTAGGGGGCGGGGTGTGTGTGCACTTAAGCCTTATCATGAAGGTTAATGGGAGTTTGCCAGACAGACTTCTTTGGGTGGGTTCTGAGTTCTGAATTCACGAGTACCAATTTTCTGCTCCTGAGCTCCACACAGAAGTGGAGGTCTTTGTGGTTTTCATTCTGTGAACGTGCTGCTTCTGCCTGTGTTGTTGGCTTATGAGCTGGAAAGTTCTGCCTCAGCACTTGACTGCCAAGTATAAGAAAAGGTTGGAGGGAGGTAGGGAGGGAGAGACAGGATGACTGGGAAGAGGATTTATCAGGGAGGGTGGGGAGCTGCCTCCCTCAAGCCCCTGGAGCTGACTCTCCCAGTATTTCTAGGGCTCTGCAGGGGCTTTCGCAACTGTTTCCTCCCAGGGATGTGATCCCACTGCCAGATCCATCCTCCTGAGACATAGTTCCAATCATGGCAGCCTTCCTCGACCGGGATTCCTCCGGAGAATTGAGCCCTGGTGCTCTAAGGCATCCACTGTACACAAGGAATAACTCCTCTCCCAGGCATCTAAAATTGGTACACGTTATGCACCATTCTTGGGAAAACTGAGAAAATCGTTGCTCAGATAATTTCCTGTATGTGATTCAGAGGAGCAACCCAGTTGAGGAATGCTGCAAGGAGAGAGCATGAACTGTGGAGTCAGGATCTGAATGCAGGCCCTGCCACCAAAGAGCCTGTGATCTTGGGCAAGCTACGGGCTGCTCTGAGGTTCTCTTTCCTCATCTGGAAATGGGAGTGTGCCACCTGCTCTCGATGGTTTTGTCAGGAGTAGGGCATGTGTAGGTTCTACAGAGTAGGCACTTTATAGATAATACCTACTATTATTAACTTCAGAAACACTCAGTGCTTACTTGTTAAAAAATAAATACAAAATAGGGGCACCTGGCTGGCTCAGTCTGTAGAGCATGCAACTCTTGGGGTTGGAGCCTCATGTTGGGTCTGTAGAGATTACTTAAAGACAATAAAATCTTTAAAATAAACACATACATACACACACACACACACATATATATACAAAATATATAAAGAATCCTACCCATCCTAACTTTTTAACCTGATTTTGGTGGTGTTATAGTCTGACCCTCACCTAACTTTTTTCCCACTGCTACCCTAATTTCCAGCTGTACAGTAGTGTTGCCTCAGAGCTCACACCTTGGTGCCTTTACTCATGCAGGTTTTTCTGCCAGTCAGTCCCCATCTTTAATGCCACTTCCCTTCTGAACTCTTCCCTGCTCCCTGGGATTTGGGTCCAGTCCCCTCTTCTAGATTGAGGTAGACTGAGGGCAAGGACGGTGTCTGATTTGCCCCTGCCTCCTTTGCCACGGTGGTCTGCACATAGTTTAGTACATGTTTGGATGCGCTGATAAATCTCTAAGACCACTCTAGATTTTCCGTTTGGGGATGTGGCACCCTTGTTTCCTGGCCCCCTCGTTCTTAGTGTCAGATTGTATCTGGTGTTTTAGAGCTTCACACACGAGCCACCTCTTTGCAGCTATCTTTGCAGTTACAGTACCACTGCCTTTTCAGTGCTCATCACCTCAGAAACATTTGGCCTTTATGAAACCTAATAGCACTTTCCCGAGGGCTTCCCTTAGCCTCTTTTCTT